GATACTGACGATAAGGTGATTGAGATCGATATCACGCACGAACTGCTTTGTATAAGATTTGATTCAATCCGACAGTGTTGTCTAACATAGTTCCAAGCTTATCATCATCGACTGTCGGACCTCCGTCAGCAACAACTCCCCGAGTCAGCATCACCCGATCGGAACAAAGACAAACGAAGATACCAGCAACGAACAGCATACCGTCATAAATTCTTGAAGGAATATATATCGACTGGTAACCAAACGATTTGACCCACCAGGGCTGCAAATTGCGAGTGGTCAACCTCGAAATACATCAACGACGACGGTTCATCACTGCTATCGATCGACCATCTCCAATTCATTGCCAGGCTAGACAAACAAAGGGGCAAAATCATCGACAATGGCAACAGCATACTACTTCGCAGCACATTTCAACATGCCCAGAACGCATGCGACCGATGATGCATGGCCTTTCCCTGCAAGCACGCCGAATACCACCTCGCTATTCTCGTCCGTCCCAGTCACGCACGAATCAGTACAAGCGCAGTATTTTGCCTCAATGGCACCAGAAATAACCACAATGGAAAGGGGCGCAACCAACCCACAGCAAACCTCAATCCTCTTCCGTCTACCGGCAGAACTTCGAAACCAAATCTACGAAGAGCTCCTCTGTGCGAACACACCGCACCACAAAGATCTCGCTACATACTCCACGCCATCTAGATCTCCAATGGTCTACCCAGCCATCCTCCGCACATGTCGCAAGATCAACGAAGAAGCCCAGGATCTCTTATACACAACACACGTCTTCCACGCCCACCGCTCTCTCCTAACCGCCCTACCACATCTGGTCTTGCCCGAGAAGCCAATCTTGTCTCCAACGATCATCGCGAAAATCACACGCTGGCAGCTTGAGCTACGTCTGGACACCGATCCCCGGTTTACCAGCAGTCAAGCTACGGCTGCATTCTCTGGTGCGGAGTTTCTCCAGGTAAAGGTTTGGCAGAGTATGTTTGATGGGGCGGACAATTCGGTCTTGAAGCTGTTTACTGGAGTTAGGGGTGTGGGTGTTGCGAAGGTTACGGGGTGTGATGATGAGAGATTGGCGAGGTGGTTGGAGAAGAGGATGATGATGCCGGTTGAGGAGGAAGAGAGCAGAGAAGGGGGATGTTGTCAGTGTGCAAACAAGGTAGATGAGGAGATGGAGTGGTTTGGTGTGACTAGAGATGCTTGGACGTTCGGGAATAGGTAGGGAGGAGGATGACGTTGAGTTGACTTTCAATTTCCAGTTTAGAGCATTTTCCTTTTCCAGAGTTTGTTACGCTGGCATCACTCAATCAGACCAATGGATTTAAACTATTGTAGTTTCAAGATGGAATGAATTTAGCTTCAACCTTACGGGTGTTCACAGCTTTCACATTGGATGTGACTATCATTCTTTTTGGATGGGTATCAAGTGTTGGAGAAAGTAATCACAAAAGAAATTCCAGAGAGTCTTGCTCTGATCAGATGAGCAGCATATCGAATGCTGATCCAGAGCCCTACGTTGGATCACAGTGATCTACCGCAGCTCTTCCCTCTCATCCTCTTCGTCGTCCTCAATCTTGGCGCAAGGGAACGCGCACTCCATTGATCGTTGCTGCACATGAGTATTAGTAAGGTGATTCTCGTATGAACCCAGAGGAACAACATACCCTACTTCCATTTCCACTCTCCGCCCAGGAACCGGTGTTACACCACGCTTCGGGGTGCAACTTCTTGCTCCCGCCCTCCGTCGCCCATTTCAGCCCATCGTACTCAAAGACCAGCGCATCTTCTCCATCGGAGCCGTAGATAGTCAACTTGGTGTCATCCACCAGTCCATCGATCTCGAAGATCTGCGTCGCAGAGACCTTCACATACGAGTTGCGCTCCGTCCGGGGTCTCGAAGAAGCGAGATCGATAGTGATTCCATTCATATGGTCTTCCAAACTGTCGACTTGGACGTAGTTAATCTTGCCATCGCTTGTCGAGGCTGGTCGGGCGGCGGTCATGAGTTGCTTGTGGAAGAGGGTGAAGGTGCACCTGTCGGCCAGCGATGTAGCGGACGACGATAGCAATGACTGTGCATCACCGCGGGGAAGAATACGCGGGGGTTGAGGAGGGAGGACGCGCGCTGCGCATAGTGAGGGCGCGAGGAAGAGAACCGAAGAGAGGATGGCGAAGGTGTTGGTGTGCATCTTGAAGACCTGCTTGCGAATGCTTCTGGTAGTGTTGGGTATTTGTTTCGATGAAGAAGTAGAGTTGATGACGCAGTCAGTCAAATGAGACAAAGATGAGCGGATAACAGGATCCAAGACCAGCTGAAAGATGCAAGGGAGAGTGAATGCAGGTACAGGACGCGCTGACGAGCAGGTACTCTTGTACCTTATTAAAGCATAGAGAGATTTCGTTTCAGAGTAACTACGCCGGACTACCCGCCCTTCACCCTGTCTATCTGTTCATCGCTACTATATTCGTGTGGCGATCCCGCTTGAGTACTCGGGCCATGCGGCGGTTGTGCAAGGCTGATATGCGGGGTTGCGGCACGGTGCTCGAATAGAGTGCTCTGGCGGCAACGTCAGCGGCAAGCATCCACCCTGTGCAATGAGGTGCATCGTAGAGCCGCAAGGAATGTGGGGGTCTGCAAAGAATGTTTTTTCATGAGGGCGGCGCGGGTTATTGCGCTGGGCAACGTTGCGTGAGATGGGCGGTGCTCGAGGGTCGAGGGGCCCAGGAAATTGGGAGCGGCGCAATGAAGTCATGATCATCGTAGAGATGGCCTTACCGTCCTCGAGGCATGCGCATCTTCGAGATGATAACAGAGAAAGACGAATATACGTCATTGCATGCTGGCTTGAGCTCTTGACTTTGCTGTTTCAAGTCTCTGATGTTTCCTATCCACAACGAAGATCCCTCGTTCTTCAAGAGACTGCAACGTTGTTGCCTTGGTCCAATGTCATTGCGCAAGAAAGCATCTGCGTATCCACGGCCTCATCACCTCGGAGCTCAGTAAAGTCAGCATTGTGCGCGCGTGGATGTATCGGCTTGGCTTCCGCGTGCTGAAAGCCCTGGTGAGCGCCCTGGAGATTAGCGAAAGAAGGCTGGCAAAGATACCTACGGCTGATGCAAACGAGTCGCTGCGCCGCTTCAAAGGAATCAATATCATTACGTTTGCCAATTCGAAGCTTTTGTGATCATCCAGGCGGCAGCCATTGAATACCGCTGGTAAGATCTATGCAATACGGCTTTCGAGATGAAGCAAGGAGATTTGGGTTCGCATGGCCTCTTGTCGCAGTGTTGAGCAAGGATTCAGATATTAGCGAGTGTTGAGTGCAGCGTCCGTCCCATATTCAAACGTCTTTTTCATCCAAGCACACGTCTTTGAGGCCAGTGAATATGCGCCCAGATGCGCAACAAAGTCAGGGTCCATGGTGTTGGACGTGCGCAGGGGGAGGAAGGGCAATTTCGGGATGCCGAATCGGTAGTCGTGGGGCCGAGCGTCTCGAAGTCTGACGTTGAGCACACAAGTGTAATTCGTCATTCTTCTCAACTAACTCACAGCCAAACATCGCCGTCGCAATGTCGCGCCCCTGCCAGCAAAGGCGCGCCAGTGCGGCTGCGAACCGGAAATCCAGAGGGTCCAAGCCAACCGGACCGCCCCCGATAAGACACAAAGCACGCCAAAAGGCGATACACAACGCTCGACGCAGCGAGCGCGGCGGAGCACGTGGCGGACGTGGTGGAGGCCGCGGAGGAGGAGGTGGAGGAGGCCGTGGTGGCGCAGGACGGGGTGGGCGAGGAGGAGGACGTGGCGGACGTTTTGCGCAGAAGAATGGCAGGAACGAATCGGGCCAAGACTTCATACCTCTCTCCTCTGGTGGCAACAACTTCGAAGCCCTCTACAGGTCCTCACGCAACGTCGACTTTGATCTCGACATGGACGGCGATAGTTCTGACTCCGACGCATTCGGCGATGAGTTGCTCGACGACGACATGTATGAGGCCGAGGACATCGAGATCAACGTACAGGCGCCACTGCCCACGACCGGTCGAGGAAGACAACCACGAGCGCAGATAATGTTTACGGAGGCAGCCGCGGTCGCAGTATACAGGCAGCTCTATCTGCGCGATTACCCACTCAGTACCTCAACCACGCGAGTGCGCTACGGTCTCTACCAGGAGGACACCTCTGCCGATTCCGCCGCATACATCTCCCTCGCACCATCCACAGCGTCTCGGCGATCGAGCGTCATCAGCATCAGCAGCGACACAAGCGAAGAGTCCACAGATGGGCCGACAACACCGGAGTACAATCCGGCACGCGACTACGTCTTCACGTTCGGTATGCACAGGGGCGAGCGGTTCACCGATGTGAACGAAAACTACCTCAGAATGATCGGTGGTCAGCTATACAAATACAGGGACAAGCATGCGGGCCTTTTGGAGGCATTCGAGTACCACAGGCCGGGGCAGGCACGTCTTCAGCCAGACCAGACTCAAACCCAACAGACACAAGCCCAGCTATCGCAGCCACGGCAGGCTTCCACACGGAACGCACAAGGGTCTCGATCGAACGCTCTTTCGGCATCAGACACATGGACATTCCACAAAGGCATTCACCTAGGAAAGCGACTCCATGACGTACCTGAAAACTACCTACGAACGCTAGAGGGCAATCCCCTCGTCAGGGACGCCTGGCCCGGTTTCAAGCAAGCACTCCAGGACTTCAATGCGAAGACTGGCAGAAAAGGCCGGGTTTGATCATACAATAGCCGTACAATAGGCACCACGTGGTTGCGCTTTCTGCGAGCGTTTGTTGATGGTCCAAGCGGCGATTTTGGACTCACCTTATATGGGCCACCTACAACCTTGGAACTTGCATGACCAGCAACCCACCGCGGCCGAACCTCTCTGTCTGAACTGTCCGAATGCGCGGGCTTACTTTGTATTAGACTCGCTAACTTGTGACTTTCAACAGTACCGCATTTCGATTCACCATGGCGAGAGGCGCAAAACGTGCGCGAGCGGATTCCGAATTGTCTCAGTCTCAGCCGCAGATTCCTATCAAGCGACAGAGGGAATCGGAAGTCATGGCAGCGCAAGTAAAAGAGGAGGCCGACGACACTACTGCACCAGACGATGTTCGATATATGAGAACGCAGCCAAAGGCCCAGGCACCTACCGAAAGCTCCCGAGCCAAGTCCTTCCCCACTCAGACATCCACAGTCATCGACTCGACGCTGAGCGACGAGCTTGACGATGTGTTCCCCTCATATTCATCAAGGTCAAAAGCTCCTCAGGACCAGGCTGACGACACCACTGCCACAGACGATGTACAATATATAGCAGATATTCTTTCTGGGCGCGAAACAGCTAGACAGGAGAGGGAGAGGCAACGCGCACATGCATCCATCATGTTCACCCCTCAAGAAGCAATAGCCTTTCTCTGGCAACCCCCGCTTGCGATCACCTACGATCTTCCGACTGGCGACTATGTACCTTGTCAGTAATATTCCTGTACGAATTGTATGTGAGACAAATACTGACTTTTCACGCTCGTCTTTTTAGATCCCGTTGATAGGTCGTACTTCTTGGGCTGGTGGGGTCGGTACGAAGATACTCGTGTTGCTATGCATACAAGTCTTCCCCATCGTCCCTCTGGCTCTGACAGACGCGACCCTTGCACTGACTACCCCGGGTCAGACCACACGGAGGCTCACGGTCGCTTCGCTTGATCTCACGACAGCAACACGGGCTGGCTGAATGCGATGAGTAGGATCCGGGTCTTTTTGATTGAACCTTCACAACGGCCGCACTCGGGACATAACCATTATCAACCACGGGTATCATGATGGCTCGGGTCTGGACACGGTGAGACGCTTCAGAGATGAACATGGTGCATGCTGGTGGAGAGTAGCTCCAGACTTCAGGAAACCAATGTAAATTATACACCTCAATTGAACGTGCACGTGATGCTTCTTAAAAGTCAATTGAGCTCACCACAAAAGTCCGGTAGATGAGCTAAGGTGCTATCCACCCGACACAGGTCATGGGCCAGCGTATCCAGGACTTATGCTCCGTGGGCAGAGCTTCGAAGATTCCACTCATAACGTGGTGTGTCCACCCTTTCATATACCAAAATCTTTCCATGTCGTGCATCAGAACGACAAAGTGCGCGTAGATGATGAGTGGCAGCGGATCGCATTGTTGCAGGCGATCGAGGAAGTCATCGCTCATTCGGTAGAGCCATCCAAACGCCACGTGGTATTCACCGTCCTTACCACCGTAGCGGTTCAAATACATCTCCTGGAGGACATTCACGCTGAGCACATTGTCGTCGCGATCAGAAGGCTCGGACGCGATTTCAATGTGCTCTTTCAGCTCTTCAAGATGCCTTTCGAACTCGAATGGCCCGTCTGTCACTGGTAAAAGCCGACTTTTGTTACGCACTGCTGGCGCATGTGTCTTCGCGAAGTTGTCGATCTCAAAGGCACTGAGCGTCGTGCGGATACCACGAAACATGACCAGCCACTCCGATCTACCGTGCTTACCGAAAGCAAGGTATTCACCAGCCTGCGGTCCTCTCGCCCAACTGACAAAGCAAATCAGTTGGACAGATTGAAGAACCGCATCGCAGTTGGAGGGGTTGAGTTTGGCTATTTCTGGAGTGACGAGTGCTAGCGCGCATTCGTAGTGATGGTTTGCAGTAGCAGTATAGGATTCTTTGCGGTCTGGCCGGCATGAAGCGAGATGGAGAGCGGTGAACGCGAAGACGAGGTGTAGAACGTGTTCGTTTTTGAATGCGATTTCTTCTGTACTTGATTGTACGCGAGCAGCGCCGGCAGGCCATGCTGATAACGAGTGGCATGTAGTCGTTGTCCAGTGATACGTGAGTTCAATCTCAGAAAGTGGAAGGCCGCCGGGTTGTCGTAGGCCAGTAACTTCCGGAACGATAATAGACGTTGCTGGGTACTCGCAGCAGACCTGCCGCCGTTTGCAATTGGTACAGAATGGTTTACCTTCATCGCACTAGGTATTGCATTAGCACGTTGAGCGTAAACTTTGTCCTTCAGGAGAGCTCGGCATGCTGTATACAAGAAATTAAGCCCAGAGCCTTGTTTAAGAGGCATCGCAAATGTCTTCGAGATACTCAAATACTATCTAGGTACGTACCTTGATGCGACGCGTCTTGCAATGAACACATCCAGCCCGCGACTTACGATGAGACTTCCTCGTTATCTTTGATGTTCTTGCCGTAGCTTTCCCATTTTGCTCGTATGGAGAGGTTTCCCGTGAATTCAGAAGAGACCCTCCTCTTGAAGTTGACGTAGCTTCCGTGCGTGGCGAATCTTGCTGCATATTGGTGTTGCTGATGAAGATGTTGAGACGCCAGAATGCGTATTCTGAGCGAGGAGCGCGTATTAAAAGAGACGGCAACCGCTAGTGGCATCCATGGATGTCATTGCTGCTAGCGTGAACACCTTCCGCGAGGGCTGCGCAACGCCGCAAGCATCTCCAGCACTGGAAAACTCCGAAAACTGACCTGACTGACCCCTTCCCAACGCGTCACCTAATCAGAAACTTTTTAGTAGCTAAGCCGCCACGATGAGTGCAGCGGCGTCACATTGATCGTTGCTGATCCGACGCGGGTTCTTCTCTCCGATGTTGACGCTAATGCGCCAGTCCGAGGCTCGTATTTGCTCGTGTTCTCTTAGAATACGCTGTTTCCAGGAACGAATGTCTGGCACACTTGTCGCGCTCCACTTAATACAGCTAAAATAGAAGGAAAGTGCCATGAAAAGCTCTTTCTTGTGCATTGCGCCGAGTTTTACCCAAACTAGTCGCGTCAGCAGTCTGAGTGCACATATAACCTCAGGATGACCCGCTGCTTTGCTCCAAGTTAAGCCATCTTCACGTTTCACTTCACGACTTCTACTCCGAAGCACCCAAATCCCAATCGAGCGAGACAACTACAATGGGTCAACCAAAGGAGACTGAGCCTGTCTACAACAAGCCATCCACAATTCCTTCATCGGCCTCATCGACCCACTCGATACCATCCGTACCACCACCGCCCTACTTCAAGTCGCAGTTCATCTCCCCGTCCTCGTTCAAGTCCGCAGTAAATGCCAAACTCGACAAGCCCGCCGTATCCCTCTTCCGTCTCAGCATCCGTATCTTCCAACTCGCTTTCGCACTAGCGTCGGGCATATCCTACGCCATCGAATTGAGCCATGCGACAAGCACTTCGAAGACGGACTTCATATTCGCGCAAGTCGTCTTTGGGCTTACCCTGTTGGTGTTAGTTATCGACAGTGTAACAGTACGCAACTACCGTGTCACTTGGATCCCGGAATGGATCTTGGCGGTCTTGTGGATTGCCTCTTTCGGCCTCTTCTACACGATCTATTCAAGCGGGGACATCGAGCAAGGGTACCAGAATGTGGATGTGGGGCGCATGAAGAGAGCCGTGTGGTGCGACCTCATTAATGCGCTGCTGTGGATGGGAAGTGCACTGTTCTCTTCAGTAATGTGCTGCTCGGGAATCAAAGCCACTATCAAGGCAAAGATGGAGAGACGAAGACAGAGAAAGGAGGCAAGGCGGCAAGTAAGGGAGGTTAGTCAGATGGAGCAGGGCGTTATTGACGCATGATGTACAAATCACAGAGCGGGATATAATATGAGAAGAGGACGCATATCGATTACTAGTACTAGCGAAGGACATGCATACTTGGTATATAGCAAAATCATCCAACCACCATCATTCCACATCAATCAAAGCAGCAATTATATACACACGAGAGATCAAATCATCTACTGGGATGATCGGACCTGCTCAATGCGGACGTTGTCATCCTTCTCGTAGCCGGAAGTCATGACGTTCTTCTCAACGTGCTCAATGTCGATGTGAGCGACCTCAGCCTCATCACCATCGAAGATCTTGGCGACCTCCTCAAGAGTGGGACCACGGGTCTCGACGTAGAAGACAGTGACGAAGATGAGCTCGAGGAAGATCCAGCACTGATTCCAGTTAGCAAATAATTCATCTTAGGGATTGTAGTTGTAAGACTTACGGCGTAGATGGTGTAGAACTTCCAGGTAGGGTGAAGGTTGTCGAATCCGAGAGGGTTGACGTATTGGTTGATGGTCAAAGCAATCTGGATGAACAAGTTCATGATCATGAGACCCTTGGCACGAATCTTGAAGGGCAGAATCTCGACAGTGTAGGCGACAAGCAGACCAGACCAAGCCAGCGCGTAAGCGACGGAGAAGATCCAGATCATGGCAATGACGGCCTGACCAGCAGCCTTGCTCTTGGTAGCCTCCTGTTGAGACGAAGCGATAGTCCAGACGATGAAGGTGACGCACATGGCTGCGGTGGCAGAGATGAAGAGTGGGCGACGACCAACGCGATCAACGAGGAGAGCGCAGGAGACGGAAACGATGAGAGAGAGAATGGTAAGACCACCGTTGATACCGAGCTGGGTGTCAGCGTCTGTGATACCAATGGATTTGTAGACATCGGTGGCGTAGTAGGAGACAAGACCGTTGCCAGACCATTGGGAGAAGAGACCGAGAGATGCGAGGAGCATGAGCCTGTACCTGTTGCCCTTGGTCTTGAAGAAATCGAAGTAGGAGGAGGTCTTCTGGTACTGGAACTCGAGGCGGAGAGTCTCCTTGATCTCAGCAAACTCGAATTGGACGGTAGCGTTGTTGGCATCGCCGTTGGCGTGGTACTTGGCAAGAATGGCAAGAGCCTCCTCGTTCCTCTCCTTGGCGATCAACCAACGTGGGGACTCAGGGATGAACCAGATAGCGGCCAACTGAATGACGGAAGGAGCAGCCTGGGTAAGAGCGGGTACACGCCAGCACCAGTCGCTCTCAATGCGCTTGGTACCGAAAGTCAACCATGTGCAGATGATGGCACCAACGTTCCACAAGCAGTTGTAGACGGCGGTGACACGAGCACGATGCTGAGGGTGGCAGAGTTCGGTAAGGAGCAGGGGAGACGAGAGTTGAGCAAGCGAGTTTCCGAAACCCATGAGGAAACGTCCACCCATGAAGTAGTCGAGGTTCTTAGCGGCGGCCTGGATGGAAGCTGCGATAATCATGATAACACATCCGAAGGTAATGCAGGCGCGACGTCCAAAGCGATCGGCAACGAAGGGAGCGACGGGAAGCGAGGCAATCGAACCGATGGAGTAAAGAGCAGTCAAGAGACCGAGAGTGTCTCCCTTTGGGTCGCCGAAGAACTCCGTCCACTTAGGCAGAATACGAAGGTTGTTCAACATGGAACTGGCGTGGGTTAGCTTTGGTCAATTGAATAACAGTAATGGGAAGACTTACCCATCGTAACCTGTGGTCGCAGAAGCGATACAGATGAAGAAGGCGTAGAAGTAGAGCTTGCGGAGACCGGCGTCGGACCTCCAGTTGACTTTCTTGAGGTGAGGAGCTTCAGCCTGAGCAGCTTCGACGTCGGACCTGCTCTTCGCAACGGCACCCATCTTGGGCGTGAACTTCTGGTAGAGACCCATGGCGTCCGACTCTTAGTCCGTAGACTGCTTGTTGAATCGAAGTAACGAGGGAATGAGTGAAGGTTGGTTTTGAAACACACAACCTTACACTGTCCTGGGCAGCAGGGTATATAAGCTGTTGACTTGTCGGGTTGGGCTGATTGCAGCTGGGCCTGGATAGATTGAACATGTTGGTGCTTCATATATATGCCTCCCAGCCTGCACGATACTATCCTCGCAGAGGACCTTGGCTCCAGAACAACGGTCTAGCGGACCGGTTAAATTCGACTGGAGAAATGTGTGGCACTCTGCGCGGATGAACCGCCGTATGGGGTAGAGTGGGCGGCAAATTGCCCAAAACGGTGGGGTCAAGGGTAGCTTGCCCAGACCCCAAGCTTCGTCTTGCCCATGAACGGATCATCTTGTTACCAGTGTCAAGTCGGCCTCGGCGCGCGGGACGGTCAGCCGTCAAGAACAACAAGAAGCCTAAGCAATGAGGCTCATTTGTCTTGTGATGGAATTGTTGGACCTGGCCTGATGGATGCATGCCTACAGTGCGACAAGGCCCGCCAGCCCGGTATGCCCTCGTGAAGCTCACCTGGGCAAGGACAAGCCTCCAGCCGCGACCTTGTTCCGGCTCGGCCATACAGGCTTGACACTTCCGCCAACCTTCTCGAAGGTCGTGATCAGCTGCGAGAGTGTCGCATGCTACGGTTGAATAGATTAACCAGCCACTAACCCCTTACTCTAAGCTCACGACTCCAGCGACCGAGAACGTGGGTCTGACAAGCGCATTTTCAGGGTCTCCCCATAATGATTGGGGCCAGCCTGGGGAAAACAGCAGAGCACGCGGAGCCGAGGTGATGAGGCGTGGTTGGCGGAAAGATGGAGCCGGATTTCCCCAGCCTGCTAACTCACTGGTGCCCCGAACACGTGATGGATGTGAGGCACGGGCTAGCGCCGAACGGCAGAACGCTCCTTCGTTCATGGCCAATCCAGCTCAATAATTCACTCCGCGGAAACTCCACATCTGCAATGCGATATCCCGCTTTTCTTCTTGCACCGTCAGCGCCTCGAGCCGTTCCCCAGAGGTTTCCCCAGACATCTTCCCCAGAGATCAACAACAGCTAACGCGCTCCGAGGAGACCTCACGCGATACATTGCAACTGCTTCACCGGGCTCATTTAACACATCCTACCATCGTCTTATTTGATAGCACATGCTGCAAGCAGCACCATCCCTGATTAGCGTCCTGTCAACGTGATTCGGCCACCGTATAAACGGGCGGTCTCGCTTACGCCTGGGCGATGTCTGGGCCAAGCCGCCAACGGGTGGCTGGCTCTTCTTTGAATGCCAATCTTCCAACACTCTTGATCAGCCGAAGACGCCATAAGGTAGATGAGATCTAAGCATCCCGCTGCCCAGCCTGCACCGGCTGAATCACAGCAATTATTGAATGCGTTGCCTGCAGCTTCCCACGGCCCTGAACGCCCTCGACTCTTTCGCGGGATGCTCTGGCCGCTGTGCCCTTCCTTTGGAACCCACAAGAAAGGGCTTGCATGCGCGGCTGATGCGGCAATTGCTTCTTCAATGCTTGTTAGCGATCCCGAACGGGCTTTCAGCAGACTTGGCTACTCTTGCATGCCGTGCCCGCCCGCACCTAAGCAATCTTTGCCTGCGTTGGCATTCTGTCTTATCGAAAAGTCAAGTCTGACTGCATCAAAAGCAGCCATGTCCGATGCATCACCCAGCATGGTGGGTATGTGTACATTGAGGGCGCCTAAAGGTCGCGCAATCACATCGCTTTGTTCTGTGGGTTAACTAGCATCACGAGATGGGCAGGGTACTCTGTCGGATCACCCCTGACAATGTGCACGGAGTCAGTCCAAGTATCCACAACGCCCACCAGCACCGAATCCTTTGAACCTCGCTTCCAGCCAGATGAGCCACCAAAGCTGGGAATAGTCTACAGTAATCATGACTATGTGGTGTACCGATGCTGGTTTAGTGTACTCCGACTCCGATCATGCGCAGCCACTCAACGAGATCCCACGCTCGGACCGTCGTAGTTGTCGGGATCTCCAGCCGTTCTTTCCTCTACAGGGGCAGAAATCAATGAATGACCGTTCGAGGCGGCTGCGCGAGCACGAGATCTTTGAAGGTTCTAACCAAGGCTCCGTCCCGTTGGCCGCCGTCGAACACCACAAGCGCCGCGCCACGAAACGACACAATTATCCTCAGAGCCTTGCCACTGGGGTATTAGGCTAAAAGGCTTCTCATCACGACTCGGTGGCTGCTCTAGTCGAGCCACTTGGTAGAATATCTCAAAAAAGCCAGTTGGGACGGTCAGTGCCGATTCAAGGTGTAATAGTTCGTCGTATGTCGTAGTGATCGGACCCAGTCCTCCACTTCGTTGGTTCAGTGGTATGTGATCGCCGTCCATGGACGATTAGGTCCTCTGTCTTTCACTCATGTGTCTCTTCTAACTGACTTGAAAATAGACACACGAGGAGACTGCCCAAATCCTGGCAACGATGCAAGAATAGCCTGCACCAAACGGCGAACAGCCTCCGATCTTTCACCGTATCCTTCCACGACGCGTGATATTTGACGATATCGACACGACCTTTGTACAACGGTGTATGATATGTGCCGTCTGCAGATGTCCTGCGGCTTTGCTTTTTCGGCCAAGTAAGTATGCGCATCCTGCGACACATCGCAGTGGTCAGAGCATACCGTGTTTTGCGTATCAGCTGACGCCATGTCTTGTTGTGTGTGCGCAGTTTGTATACCCGCCGAGCGTTGAGCGCGAATACGCCGGGATGCTGAGCACAGCACACCCCCATATCTTGGATGCGCGCATCTCCAACAGATATGCCTCATGCTGACCGATAGCTCGTTATTGATCTTGACAAGGAGATGTGAGCTGCATTGTTCCGAGTAGGACCGCGTTCGTCTCATTTCTGAATGCTGTGTCGACACCTATACGCCGGTAATCGGACCGAGAAGTAATATCATGGCCATATTTCGCTGTGTCAATCGATCAGCCTTCTGGTCTTACGCACTCTTTCCGGCGAATAGGTATTGTATTTGGCAACCCTTGTTGTAAATGACACAAAACTGCGAACAAGGACTACAGTCTCGCGGACCCCGTCGAACCCGCGTCTTTGGGTCAATCGCCACGTCCACGAAGTACAGGTAATTCGCGCACGATAGACACCAGAGCATCCGAGGACTCAGTCTTTTGCAGGACGACAAGTCTTTCTCAAGTCGAAGCCATGAGGAAAGAAGCATTGCCGAGATTAATGCTGCAAGCCACGATGGATGCTGAGGAGGAGCGTCCACAACCCAGATACTGTATCCATTGGGTGCGCTCACTAACTGCGCAACTCCCATCCATTGCCTCTCCAGCTCGGTTCCCCCAATGACGAGGACAAGGTTGTATGCGCACGCACTGTTTGTGTGCGTCGATTTGCAGACAGGACAACACGACCTTCACTAAGTCGCAACAACTAATCATACATCTCTAGTTGACGATACATACCAGACGAACGCAGCGCTCAGATCACGAAACGTACGCATACCAGAGACACGAAGTACAACGAACATGCCGACACGGGACTGCTGGAAGAGCTGTACCCCACCACAATTGCGTCTTAATCGTATCGTGCCCGTCAGGCTGAGTGGTGTGGACAGTCATCACTATGGTAGTTATTGATGAGCTGGGACCGTTGGAAGCGATGAAACCCCTCGTTGAACGGTAGGCCTTGTGCGTATGGGCTCCAATCGAAGAGGCTACCGTGTTGCGCGGGATAGCCATGGGGCAACGAGTACAGGTATCATTGAAGGTGAGACAGAATCTGGACCTAGTGCCGGGCTTGCGCTGTGTCGATGTGTACGGAATAGGAGACTTTCCATGGTTGACAGAGTAGGGCAGGCCATGTATGCGGCGTCTACCTACCCAAGAACGAGGATTTCCCTACGCACCACACATCTTGCTAGCAATTTGGGACATTGCTAAACAGTATGTTGATAGGTGTGTATGGCGTCGGTCGGCGGTTTGGCTGTTGAAGACGTGGAGATATTCTTTCATCGTCTTGGTCAGCTAAAGTGGGTCCATTCGCGTTCCGGCGCAGTTCGCGTCATGACTTTCCGCGGGCATGCGCCGCCGTCCATGGATCCTTCGCATTGCCCAGCTGCGCCCAGGACGTTACGACCACGATCAGCAAAATGTGGAGCAGTAGCGGTTTGATACGAGGAAAGAAGTCTTGGGGCCGCGCCTGAATTCTTGGGTGTGCCACCGAAGGCGCGAAGTTGACGTCCTACACCATAACACATTCCGCTCTCTATCAACTCTACGATCGCTCTTTCGGACACACGTTCACTACTAGTATATATCGCATCATCTATCAGATCATGTTTGCGAAAACAGGGCTTCTTCTACTGACGGCAGCGGCGGGAGTGGTGAGAGGCGACTTCATGGTCTACACCGAACCGCCGATTCCCACGTCCGCCATCCCAACTTTCGCCAACCCATCTGATGTACGCTGAACGCAAATCTGGGGGTCCCTACCGCCGTACTGACAATTACGCAGGCCCAAGAATGGACGACCTCAGTCTTCCTCAATGCGCAGATAGCCTACGGTCGCTTCACGGAATCCCTCGGCGAGCCCTACCAGTCCTCTCTCACATCCGCGCGCTCCGAAATCGACGCCTTTGTCAGCACCGCCTCGAATTACAGCATTCCAGCTGAAGTCACCATGGCCGACGAGACCCCCACATACTTCTCCAAGCCAGATTGGTATACAGCCCTGCCGAGTGCGGCGAGGTCGTTCAAGGAACAACAGGTCAGCGATCAGTTCAGCATCGTGAGGAACGTCATTGCGGCGAGGGCTACCTCTACAACCGGTTCCGAGGGAGCCGCGATGCCGACTGCACTTGCTGGACAGTGGCTGGGGGCTGAGTTCGGCGTCATGGCTGCGGCGGCTGCGGCCGCCTTCTTGTGAGGAACGCAAGAATTGGACTATGGGTAGATCGCATTTACACGAATAGACTTCTAGACTGCAATTGTACCCAGGAGGTACGCGTCAAGACTATGGATCATGCTATACAATGGATATATGGCGCGAAGAATGCCAATGAACGCACCTGTGCTCCGAAGGTGCAGTCAAATTGGAGACCATCTATTATGCAATGCATTCATCAGCGCAAGCAAACCAGAGACGCAACATGCTAGCACATCAAGCCAAGTTGACGTACGCCCGTCAAATCCTTCGTGAAGAACACACCAATCATGCACGTCGCTATACGCAGATGGCCCACTCATGACTATGCATTCTTGGCGACGATGGCATGCCAATCTAAGAGGAACAGTCTATAAGAGGGCATACCAAAGATCCAAGAAGAGGCGAAGCAGCCAGCCTTGCTCTAGCAAAAAACAGTCCATCCGTCTTTCTACAATGTCAACTTCCGAGCCAACCCACACACCACGAGCCCGTCCTTTCTCAGTCCACGTCCACCCCATTCCTCCGACCGAACCAAAGACATGTGCATACGAGCGCTGCCATTCCCACTCGGCCAAGTGCAGCAACGCCTTGGTCTTCCTCGGCGGATTGGGTAGCGGGCCGCACACAACCCACTACCTGAGACCTTTGAACGACGCCTTAGAAAGCGCGAGTTTGAAAGACGGAACTGATGTACAGTACAGTATCTGGGAGCTGAGAATGCGGAGTAGTTATACAGGTTTCGGACATGGAAGCTTAGAGGAGGATGCTGAAGACCTGAGGGAGCTGGTGGAGTATCTGAAGGAGATTGAAAAAGAAAAAGTAGTGTTGATAGGGAGCTCAACTGGTGAGTCTGTCCCACTGAAACGATATGCTCTTTTTCGGTTTCTGCTAGTTGCTGACGAGCAAGAAGGATGTCAGGCCATCATGGCATACGCAACTACCCTCCCAGCGCCTCCCCCGGTTGACGGCTACATCATGCAAGCCCCAACTTCAGATCGTGAAACAGCCGGACTGCTCATGCCACAGGACCTCCTCTCAGCTAGCCTCAAGCACGCCGAAGCCCTCATTGCGAAAGGAGAGAAAAAGACTATCATGCCTAGCTCTTTCATCCCACCAATCATTACGTCTCCGGTAACGGCATACCGCTGGCACTCTTTAATCTCCTTTGAAGGTGACGACGACTTCTTCTCTTCTGATCTACCAGTCTCGACCCTTCAGTCCACATTCGGTAAACTGGACAAGCCGACTTTGATTCTGATGTCGGAGAAGGACGAGATGGTTCCTTCGACTGTGGACAAAGATGCTTTGCTGAAGAAATGGATTGGTACGATTCCAGATGGTTTGGCGAGTAAGCAGTGTCACATTATTCCGTTCGATGCTGACCATGAGCTCTCTGGTGATGAAGCAATGCGGTACTTCATCGCCACGGTTGTCAGATTTCTCGAGGGAATTGATGCGGCATCAGTTGGAAAATCATGAAGATAGTCACTTTGATAAATGTTGTCTCGAGATCTCTCTTCGCTAAAGCATAACACCACTCATTTCACCCTTGCTCCTCGTCATGGTCAAAATGACGTCAGTGGCCCATCTGCACTCCACCCACTCATCGCACCTTCCCGTCGCGCATGTGCATGCGCAATGTAGCGACCCCGTTATGTCATGCATACCGTTTTCCAGGTTTCTGGTTCAATCAATACACTATTTAATCGCTAATGTCTAGTCTATGTTCTTTCTTTTGACGATACCCAGGGCGAATACCTACAGCGCCACGAACTAGCTACTTCCGACGGCAACGCTACCGCCCAAGATGGGTATACCATACTCCCGCCAAATCAACGCTGCATTTGAACAAGTCACGCCTCTTGTAGCGGCCGGCTTCAAGGTTCTTCGTACAACCCGCGATATCTCGATCTTGCTTGCGGTCATCCAAGTTCTTACCGTCATCCTCTTGGGGTTTATTCTCGTCGCGCTCGTCTTGCTGCTATACTGCGTGAATCCGGATCTGGAGGTTCGTCCTTCCTTCTAGGATATCGGAGCCGATGACTTTAGATGCTAACACGATGTAGGAAGAAAGAAAAGCCATCGTAACGCCATGGCTTCGATACTTCGCTAGTATAACGTTATGGTCGATATTCAAGACCTTGTTTTCTACGCTAGTTGTGATGGGGCTTGCAGCAGCGGCGACATGGCACTTTTTTGTGGCGAAGCAGTGGGTGGAGGATGTGGAGTACGACGCAAATGTCGATGCTGATAAGGCGTTGTCGGATTTGGATGGAGAAGGAGCAGGAGGAAGCGGAGGAAACGGGGGCAAGAAAGGGAAAGGTAAGGGGAAGAAGTGAGAAGAACGTGAACTGAAAGTGGCAATAGTATTGCTCATTTGAGAAACCCTTTGTTGACATGAAGACCACGCCGGACCTACTCAACTACCGTAAACATTACATGTACGACAATGAACACAATACTCGCCGGTATGTCTCCAATCGCCACATCCACATGTTACACAGACCTCACAACACCCTTTCCCTCGCACTAAACCCCTCACTATCAAGCAACAAGAGCGCAAACAACCCTCCCATAACCGGCCTAGCCTTGAAGTCAATACCAGGGGGCTGTGTCCCATCATTCGTCTGATAGAGATCGGTAAAAGGATGGGAGTTAGGCGTCTCATTCACCCATTTCGCCAAATCCCCAATGAACATATCCCTCGTCTCCTTACTTGCTACCGCAGCACAGAAGATCTCCCAGTCGGACTTTGTGTAGTAACGGTTCCGCGTGTCGAGGGGTACGCCATACTGTTCCTTGATGGTGGGGTAGAAGGCGGATTGTATATCGTAGATTTCCTGGGGTACGAGGTTGAGTCCGAGGAGACGATCGTTGTAGAGGTTATATAGCAGGCCGTGTGTGGTCTCGTTTCCATAGTTGAGGATAGAGTGAGGCGAGTTGTCAGCCTTGTTGATGCCTAGATCGATCCAGCGGGTGATGTAGTCATGAGCGATGGCGGTATAGTTGTCAGCGTCTGCTGTTTCGCCGATGATGCGCGCCATCTGGGACATGGCTTCGAGGCCGATGATGCCTTTTAGTGCGAGGTTAGTTTGGTTGGCGAGTGCGCCCGCGAAATCGTCGGTAGAGAGTTGATCGGCTGGGAGGAGACTTTCTTCTACAAGATATTCGGTCCATTGCTTGAGAATAGGGTAGTGTTGGGTGATGTAGTCGGTGTTGCCTGATAGCTGGACGTAGGCGAGCATCATGAACATGTGGTTTCCGCATTCTTCCAGCGGCATGTGTTCGTCCAGACCGTCTGGGTGGCCGGTAGCGTTGGGGTAGTGCGCTCCAAGGTCATGGATAGCGAACTTGTTTGGATAGTGCCCGCTTTCCTGGTTCTCGAAGTGCGGATCAAGCAACAGCTTGACTAATTCTGGGTTGGTATAGTAGAAGATCGGGGTGGCGGGGTAGATGACGTCCACAGTCTGCATGTTTCCGTTGGATGAAATTTCCTTGAGAAAGAGGTAATGTTTGTCTTGAGTCCCCACAAGCTGAGTGGCACCGAATGCCTGACGAGCAGCCAAGCTAGTCAGTATAGCGTAATCATCTCCTGCAGCTGCTTTGGAATCCTTAGAAATCTTATCGTCGAGCTCCGTGGAGAGTTTGTTCGACTCTTCGTAATCTTTGTAGAAGAAAGATAGCGCGGTGAGATCGTCTTCGAAGTAGCTCTTCCAGAGTGATGGCACGTTATTGAGGCCGTCGGCGCCTAAAAACTGTATAGCATCGTCTTGACATAGACCGATAGTGTACAGCTGGCTCTTCACGTCAGAACCGACGGAACCCATGTTTAGAGCGTATCCAAACACGGGCCACTCAGCGTTAATTGGTCGGAATTCGGAGTCTTCCGTGTTGTCGAGGCTTCCATCATTGTCAAAGGCATCGCGAACTTCAGAGTCTGCGCCGGACTTGTGCGTAAGACCTTCGACTGCTTCTGTGGAATAATACTGCTAATGTCAGATCATGATTCCATGCCTTTTGGTGGACTACTTACCCAACTACCCCACTCTGCGCGGTCGTTGACCTCACTCAAAGACTGTTGGTTTTGCTTCCAGATCTTGTGATAGCCGATACCATCTGATGTAGTACCGTAACTCCACTCAGCTACAGCAGCGACATCACCAGACGTCCATTCTATCTGCATGTCAACTCAACCGCACGTTTAAAGGGAGCTAGAGATGCTTACCAGCACTGATATCTGTGTAGATCTGCACGTCATGTTGGGAGCCGTCTAGAGACGAGACCTCGACGTTCATGTACGAGAAGATAAGAGATTGACGCTTGAAGTCATTTGGAGTCAGTGGTGACATGAATGTAACCTTGAGCTGAACGGTATCGCCTGCGGTAATGGTGAAGATGCTCTTGGTAGACGTGTACTCGTATGATGTCTGATTAGCGAAATCGTTGTAGCCGTCGGGTTTCCCCATCCAGACAAAGGTATTGCCATCGACTTTAACCAAGCCAGTCCATCCTAGAATCTGACCACTGCTTAATGTCAACATGTATCCAACACGTAGCGTCGAGAGGGATCTTACGTCCAGAATGATGGCCACTGGCCTGGAAGATAGCCTCCATTTCCTCCATCACTACCGGCAGGAAACCACGTGCTGAGATATGGACTCTTGACGGCCAGTGGTAGGGAGGGTGGACGAGCTGGAGTGAAGGTCGAGCTAGATTGTGCAGCAGTAGTAAGAAAGAAGGTGCACAGCACACTAAGAATGGGAAGATACATCTTCAAGCATGCAAAATATTGATACCGGGCATGCGCGCAAACTTAGGGTGAGATGGAATACGAAGGTTATATAGACACGAAATCCCGAGTCGATCTTCCGTTGGTATTACCTCGTGCTCCCTGCAGCTAGCAATGAAAGATGCAGGCACCGGTGCGTGAAAATGGCCATTTCGTTTGTCGAAGGGGCCGTGATGTTTGTTGACAGCTCTACGGTCAGCACTAGCTTGGATTTAACGTTCAAGTGACGATACAAATGTCAGGAAGAGTTACGGGCGAACCTAAACAGCATGGGCGTAGCACCGATCCTTTTTAATATTACACCACGTGGGGAAACTTTAGTGTCACCTTACATTGTAGGCAACAAGTCCATGAAGCTCACTGACAAGGCTTTTTATCGGTGGCCAAGACTCTTGGTTAGTTTGGGATATGCGGTGGTTGACCGCATCCGCAGAGGTACGCCTGACGTGCATCATAAGGTTATGCCAGGCTAGCTAGCGTCTGTGAGTACAAGGCTGATCAGTCCTCGAGACATGATGTCGGACTCCTGGTAATCAGTCGGTGAAATCAGGCGACCTTTTTCATTGCACTCCACGAGCGTCAAAACGAGGCCTTGCCTGATTTGGTAGAGCATCCACCACGCGCAATTAGAGGCGCTAAACAACGGTTTGCTTCCAGGACGGCAGGAGTGGCGACGTGAGTTGGCGCTGGCAGATTCACGATCCTCGTGATGCGACTGCTGCGGTGTTGATGAGCGACGAAGCACCGGTGTCCAGTAGTAGAGAGTACGAGTGACGTTGAACCGCGGGGTTAGAAGGAGTGGTACTTACAGTACACGAGCGCACTGCTAGCGTTGTAACCGTTTGGATAGGGAAGGAGCTAAAGCACTCGCAGCGCAAAATCATATGTGGGTGTGAGATACCCGAGCAGAGCCAGCCACGATAGCGCAACGCCGTCCGTGCTTGAAGCAAAATGTGTGGATGCGACGGAACGTGTGGGTGTCGTACTGCGGGGAAGGCGTGCGCGGATCCGGAAAGTGCCATCGACATGCTTGCAGGTTCTGTATCTGGGGTTACCACCGGTCCAACGCAGTAGCACGAAGACCACGACTGTAGATCTTTTGGACAACGTTGCCACGTTGTGTGCGTTAGTTGTCAAGTACCATGTGAGCACAACGATCATGAGACAGACAAGGCTTGTGAGTAGTGACAATACATTGCAGAAAGCTCATCATAATATGAGGTCGTATAAGCCGCTGATAGTCGCCGCGGGCATGACAGATAATGGAGTCTGTGGTGAAAACCACGCTCATCTGGCAGCCAAGTAAAGTACAATGCATCATAAGACCATCCATCCTTTGACCAAACCATTGATAAGAAAACGCCGGGAAGACCAGGATCATGAGTGGAATAATAGTGCAGGGTATCCAAAAGCCAACGGAAGTGACTGAATCGCAGAATGCCGGATGATAAGCGAACACCAAGTATGAGCAAGAAAAAACGCAATGCAAACCGGGTATCCAAGGCCTGTCCAACACCAAACGTAACTCGTACAAGGAAATTCATCAGCTCATGACTCTGCAACCCAAGGGCGAGCCACGTGCTCGAAGCGTTGCTCGCAGTCGCGCAACAGTGCGCACTCTAGAATATCATGGACATTCCAACGCTTTTCAACGTCAGCCTCGAGGCAACCCCTGACCAATGCGAGGGCGTCGTCGATGTTGCTTGCTTGAGCCGACTCTGCATTACGTATGAGGTCCGCGTCCCATTCGCAGTTCTTGATCTTCTCAATCGTCTTGATGTCGAGGCCGTCGTTGAAAGGTAGAGTCGCGGTGAGTAGAGCAAAGACCACTACACCAAACGCCCAAATGTCCGCCGCAGGTGAGAATACAGGTCCAGGTGTATTGAATAACTCAGGAGCCGCATACTGTAGGCTACCAGCGATAGAAGTACTGGTCTCCGCGGGGCCTATGTTCTGGTTGTCACCGATCGAGTGTGGCTCGGGACCATCGCGCTGGTCGCTGACAATGAAGTCTGCCATGCCGAAATCGCAAAGGAGAACATCGCCGCCGTCTTTTTCAGCGTCGTTTACAGTCATGTCGAGAAGACAGTTCTCGAGCTTGATGTCGCGATGTACAACCTGGACGTCGTTGTGCAGGTAGCGCATGGCTGACGCCAGCTGATAGGCATAGCGCTTCACTAAGTGAGCTGGTAGTCCGCTCTTCTTCTGGCGGCGTGTGTCGCGGATAAGGTCGAAGAGAGTCCCGCCCTTGTTCAGCCTGGTGATGCAGAAAGTGGCATAGTCGGTGGTGTATACCCTGAGGAGGGGAAGAATATAGGGGTGCCTCAGGAAACGCCAGATCTCCACCTCGTGGTCGAACTGGGTCTGGATCTGTTCGTTCTCAATTTCAGACTTGTCCTGTTGCAGCCTGCGCACAATCTTGACAGCATCGATAACAGGTTTGCCGTTCTCCATGCTTGTAACCTCCTTCACGACGCTGAAGCCACCGTAACCAATCTGTTTTCCAATAATGTACTCGCTGTCATAGCCAATGCCTTGGCCTTCGTCGTCTGGCTCGGGCGCCTTGATTGGGGCTTCGGACGCCTTGTAACGCGCCAGGAAGGAGGCAGCCGGCGACATGGACGACAGAGAACGGCCGGAACGGGCAGACGATCGGCGGCTAGTCCTCTTCAGACTGCCATCTTCGCCAATCTCCGATCTCCAGCTCTTGGTCCGAGGTGGGCCGCCGCGGCGCGGAGAGGGCGAGAAGAGGGGAAACTCCATGGGGGAGGTGGCAGGCATTGGCGAGAGCATGTACTCGGACGGCGCCTCGAGGGGTGTTTGCGCCTCGTCTAGCGGCGGCGAAGCGGTAGCATCAGACGTCAAGGATGCGACTTGGTCGCGGTACTCGGAGTCATTGGCCAGGTCGTCTACGGTGGACTGGACGAGTGGGTATCGGGACTCTCCAACGCGGTACTGCATGTTGCGGCGCATGGTGTAGGGCATCTCCATGTAGTCTTGCTGCGAACCATCCGAGTAGCTTCCATTCTCGGGTGTGCGTGAATGCGACTGCCGTGAAGACTTGGGCACGGGCACGCCCAGGCCGACGCCCTCTCCCGTGTCGAGCCGGACTTCATTGTTGAAGCTGATGCTCGTCTTTCGCTGCCTGAATTTGGCTACAAAATCCTCGTCACTTCCGCTGCTGCCTACAGCCAGGGAGCCCTCATCGTCGGACTCGGCGCGCAAGTCGGCGCCATGGTGGTCACGCGTAGGGAAAGAGGCGCGCGAGATGTTCTGCGGTTCTGCAGCAGCGAATTCGGCGGTTAGCTGGGACTGGCCATGGTGGTTGTGCGGGGACTGTTTACGGGCTAGAGGCGCGAAAGATGCAAAGGTGGAAGCGACGGGTTTGTGGGGTGTCGAGGTGTCGAGTTTGAGCTTCTGGAAAGTGTGTGAGGGTTCTGAAATTGGGGCCATTAAACCGGTTCACAGTGAGAGCAAACCTCTTTTTACACCGGCGAGCGGGTGTATTATGTGTGCGGCGATCGTGGGGTGAGTCGCGCGGCGAAGGGCGAAACCGGGAAGTAAAGTAATAAGATTATGTTCGGGCTTGGTGACAGCGGAGTGCTAGCGGAACGAGGAAATTGCACGCGCGCCGAGCCACGGTATGCCTGGGGAAATTGCTCGGGGTGGCAATTGATTGATGGATCTGGGGTGTAGTTGATTGAGGAGAAGGGCAGAAGTGGGAAAGGAGGGCATAGTTCTTTGTCCAGAATATTGCTTCTGGTCCTCCGCTCGGAGCCTCCCCCACGCATGTTGTTAATAGGCGGCCGTCAGCGGAGGCGCGGGCGCAGAGGCACGTGAGCGGCCGTGAACCAGCCATGCAGTTATGCGCGCCTATGGGACGCGTTCGCAGGGTAATCTGCTGCTTTTGCGCATAGCGAGTGGGTGCTCGGTGAAGATTCTGGGCAGTCTAGCGTAGTAGGTGTGCTGGATGATCCATGGGATAGCAGATAGCCAAGCAGCCGTCGCCGCATCGCGACGGGTAGAGGGCGAGGAGAGCGACTACCCCGCACAGAGGCTCTGCAGCGAGCTGCGCAGCACCATGGCTTCATTCATGAGGTTTGGCAGGCGGTGATAACAGTGACAGAGGACGTGGGGCGCGTCCGACAGATGGCCTGCATGGCGGGCCGCTAGACCGTACATGACGCCGGGCGTTGCAAAGGCGAATAGGGCAGCATGAGGGCCATAATTGTGACCTGGCCGGCGCATTGTTGGTTGTACACGTCAAACGGCCGAAACATGACGTTGCGGCCGTCGTGAAGCTCGACGCGGTTGGCTCGTCACGGCGACCAGCAAGAGGCATTGCCCGGGGTCCCTGTCTGCATCGCTGGACCCTTCAAGCCGCGCCGACTTGACCGAGTTGACGATAGCGGAGGCAGGGAAGCTTGAAATGCACATATACATCATCTTATAGGGTTGCTGGGATTGTTGCGATAGGGCCTTGGAAGAGCGCGAACGCCCGCGCAGCTGCTCGAGTGTCGCATAGCAGCAGAATACACACTGCACATACGCATCCACGCGGCTCTCTGCTGTCAAATCGTCGTCGTCTTCACGTGAAGCTGGCTAGCTCGACGCTTGTTGACTGACTGCATGCACGGGCGACGCTGCCGCCCGCCTAGCACACCTCCAAGTTCCATCTGCCAAGCTCGATTCAACACCCTGGGGCGGGTGACAACATCACCAAGCTCATCAACCCATCGCACCGGCCCAACC